CCTCCGAGGCATCACAAATTCATACTAAATGGCAAACTCGATTGTCCCAGTGACGTTGACATGCAGCTTGAAATGCCAAATGCTTCTCCACGGACTGCTCTTGAATTTCTTATGTGAATTAATTAATACCAGAAAAAGACGTATCATTCAACACATCATCAGACTTGCAAGGATTCATCCAACTATTTTTCAATCATCAATCCTTCTTCCTTATACATCGATGCTTTTCTAGTGAAAGATGAGAAAAACTATAGTGATCCAATTATATTAAGGAGTAGAAGTTTAACAGATTTCAGCGTTAAATCTGACGATTACCCAACTCCCCGGAAGGATCGATTCCAGATGATAGAGTAACTGACAACTCGCTCTAACAAGCTTCCTTCAGTCCCGATTTATTTTTCTCAGCCATCGCTTCCTTTTCCAATATTCTTCAATAGAATATGAGGGAATCTCTGATATTATGGTCTTGTTGTGGGTTGATGTGGAAGAAATATTTTGAAAGCATCGATTAATTTCCATGAATTTAAGCGTCTGATAAAATTTCTTTGCTAAAAAAGTTGAACGAAATGAACTCAGAATTAGTTTACAGTACAACAAAGTATCTAACGTTCTCATTCACACAAAAGTCTTGATGAAAATTTTGTAAACCATATCCTTTTTACTTCTTCTTCTTCTTTTTCTTCGTCTCAACAAAAACCATTTAAACTCTATTGGGCCATAACTTTTAAGACAATTCCAAAGTTTCCACCATTTCCAACATTTTAATGAATGGTCTTTTCAACCAATAGTTTCCTGTTAGAAATTCAAAGCTTCACCTCCACTTTCTTCCAATATCGACAGCTTCGGGAATGTATAAAGCTCCAAAGCTTTCGACATCCAATCTAACGACCAACTTAACTGCAGTATATTTCGCTCATTTTGCTCCCAGGATAATCCACATTGAAGCCCGCTGGCAATTTAGCTGGTGTATCCGCAGCACTAGATTTTCTCAATTTCTCACTGCTTTTTGCTGGATTAACGACCCCAATGAATTGAGTTTACGGTAATGATCCCGGGCATTGAATATGTTAAACCAGATGTACAGAATTAATAAGCTTCATTCAAATATTTATTTCTACCTTTGTGTATAAATGGGGCGATGGCTATTTTTCTGGTTCCTAATGTGCAGAGAGGATTTTTAAAGCCCCAATTTTGAGTTTCTAGGTCGGAATTAATCCGATGTTGAATCTATTAAAGTTAATGCAGTCGAATGTATATCAATTCTTCAAAAATGGAACATATTACAATTTGTGAAAAAATGAAAAACTTTAGTGTTTTAGGGCTTTGAAGTTTTTTTTTTTTTAGGACAAGAATTTCCTCAGTTTTGTAACTATTCATTTTTTATTCTCAGTTGAAAATAATAGCATTATTTTTTAAATAATTTTTTCTATTTGCGGAATTTGTCATATTCATATATATATATATATATATATATATTAGACCCTCGCCCAAACTCCCACCGTTTTATTTAAGCCCCAGACGCTCAAGCCAATTTTTTATTAGGGTACACTCGTTAGTACACTGTACGCCGTACGGTATTAAACCGAAAATTGAAAAAAAGAGAAAAATGGCAAGTACAAGCATTCGAGCGTCCTTTCTATACAAACTCGGGGATTCTCGCAGCGTATTGTGAAGTCTAACAATAGGATTACCCGGATTACATACCACCGACAATTACACATTAACTGTATGGATAGTATTGTATTTCATTTCTCCTCGTTCTTTTTTCTTTCTTTATTGCCTACTTTTTCTCGTTTTTCTATGCAACCCGTACTATTGTTTTTTTTTTCACGCAATTATTATTCTCAATGTGCTGCGCATGAATTGGTGTTTGCACACATGTTCGTATGAATTGTGGCTTGATGCGTTACTGCAGGATAAACTCGTTAATATCGCTAATTGCTTTGGCAAGTCTCCATTTACGTTGATATTCCGCGGTTTTTAGTGACATTTTACAATTATTTGACATCTGATTAATGCAGTGTCTGGGCAGTATTTGTTACTTGCGGAATTGTATTTTTTGGCAGGAGTTTCACTTACCATAAATTGCAGGCCAGTATTTAAATTTTCCACTGCATTAGTATGGAATATTGAAAACATTATATCATATATCGTTTAGAAATGATGAATGCAATATTCACTTGAACAATTATTTATGGAGAAACTCCAGCCAAGTACGGAGATGCTCAATTACCACTACAAGCTTTTCTCTGCATCACTATTCACATTTAGTACTTCTCAGTTTAAGTTCAAGTTTGGAAAAAGTTTGACAAACTCATAACAATAGACCATCCCCGAATGTTCATCGGAAGGGGGGTCTTAATAGTGCCTCGGGTAGATACCGATATCGACGGAGAATTAATCCTCGATTATACAGTTCTACTAGACTCACCCCATTCCCAGTATTATATTTCAACGGATTAAATCCGTTACTGTGGACCCGTTACGTTGCATGAAAGTTTGGCAGAGTGTAGGGAGAACATTTGAGTATATTTGAGGTGCATGGATTTACCGATTATTCAAATATTTCTATTTTCAATTGACTATTATATCAACTAACATTTAGAGGATAGATGCAGCGATCATTAGATGCCACTGCTCACTCCTAAAATAATGCCATTTGACAATGAAGATAATTAAAATCGATGGTTGGAATCAAATGTAGTCGCATTAAATTTACATGAGTTTGAAGTCATCTTACCCCTCCTTTTCCACTTATATTTCTCATCTGACGTAAGCCAATTGAACTTGTCCTACATACCCGCACACGGACCTGAATAATTAATCCGCGTCAGATCCAAAAAGGTGAGCACCCGATAAAACCTGAAACGGAAAGAGCAACGTGGAAAATTGCCTGTAACCATTATTATTATTATTATTATTATATGTCTCACGTAAAGGAAACGGGTCAAAGAGGATGACCCAGCTCAGAAATGAAGATATAATAGATAAGATGAAATCGTTTCTACCTGCAAGAGTGCAAAGGGAAAAGGGTATTACAATAGTCAGGGAAACTGAAAAATATATATAAATAAAAGAGAATAACGGAGAAGGTGAAAGAGTTGAGGAAAAGCGGGATGATGGTACGACTCCCGACGGATTTTGCAGTCGTTGCTACGTTTTCATTTGGGCGGGGGATTTTTGCAGTGCCAGCCATTTCATATAATCTCTCTCTTCTTTATTCTTTCCAATCGATCGAACGAACGTTTTTTCCCTCTGACGGTAAGACCAACTCTAAACTGATTGGCTTTTATCTACAGCCACAACCTGCATGAAGGTGAAGGTATTGGAAAATTGCCTTCAGTTTTAAATATTTTTGTTTGTTATTTTCCGGACTAAGCACCGAATTCATTCAGCCGGAATGAAGAAAATGTACACTGATAGGATGGTTATGTTATTGTTGATAATATCATTCACAATGTTGAATATGTATTAGAACGTATTTCTGCTTGCTAATTTTAATTCGCTCATTTTGTCAATGCCTAATGTAATGAAAAAAATGAATCATTCATAAATTATTCGTCGAATTTGCATCATGAGCATTTGTGAATGAAGACAGATGCCATTGAATTTAATATGTCGTGGATTTGTAGATATTTGAGGGAAGGCTGGATAAAACACTCGCGTAAAAGAGCATTGTCTACTTTTGCCCCTCGGCAGAAACATACTTTTCATTCCGCTAAAAGGGGAAGTGATTTACTTTCCACTTCCACCATGTGTTTTGTTTTTCATATTAATTTTTTCTTTCTTTCATTTTTCAATTTTTTTTTTGTTTCAAAGAAAGGTATAGAGGAAATAGTATAATCTGAAGCATTCTCTCCTTCACATACATATATCCTCAAAGGAAAATAATGGATATGCTTGGTAACTATAATAAGTCAAGTGGTTTTTCTCTTCTAAAACTTTACGTAACACTCGAAAGTACCCATACAGGTGGGCTCTCAGGAAAATTGCATCAACAATGCTGAGAGGGTTGCGCATTAAATGGCGCAAGAAGGAGATTTGTCGCATGTTTTGCCAAAAAATTAAATTCTATACAATAATATATCATTCGAATTGATTTTGCACAATGTGAATAACAACTAACTTGATTTTACTGAATTCATTTTGTTGAGTTAGATAATGGCTTTGTTTCAGCGAATATTTTAAATCCGTTGGAAAAATTTTTTCACCAAAAGTTGATATCTTGATTACAACTTTTAATCACACGAATAAAAAAAATGGATAGAGAATTAAGTGAGGCTTAATGGGAATACTTTTTTTCGTTTACTGTGAAATCACCGAGTTGGGGAAGTTGGCATTGGTCTGTTGAGGGAAGTGAAAAGGAGGCAAATATCCTCGGCTGTGTCATTCAAGCTTAAAATTAAAGCAGTGGCTATTCACACTCCTGCGTGAAGCACTCACCTACATTACCTGGTTCCCTGCGGGTCTCACTCACTGCACTATCTACACTGATAGAAAAGGTGGAATGATCCAGCTGCACCAAACGAGACTTCTTAACTGTTACCGCGATTCGTTAATAGTTAACCAATCGTGATAATAGTTGAAAAGTCTCGTTTAGTTCGACACAACATGTCCAATGAACTACTTCGTGCCTGCGTGAATCACTCAGAAAACCCCATGGAGTGTACGGAGTGTAGCGGAGGGGTTCACGCAGGCGTGTGAATAGCCACTGCCTAAAATTAATTGTGGCATGTTTAGAAAAAAAAAAACATTTGACAAAAGGTTGACATCCCTCGGGAGATGGAAGAATTCTGAATAGTATGGGTTCATTTCCTAGGGGAAATTTTCTCTCTCGATTTTATAAAAATTCATAACTCTGTCATTTTATCCGACACCGATGGATGAAAAGCCGATTAAAACACGGAGATTAATGAATTCCCTTGGCGTTTAATAGTACGTAAAATTTTGGAAATTCATTGCGTGTATTGAATGGATGAATCATTTGTTTTTTGTTCCAGCGAGTAATAATGTTAATGAACCACCCATTTTCGAGCCAGGGGGCTTTCCACTTGGTTTACCACTCTTCGAAGCAACCGAGGTGGGCACTGAGATATTCACTCTGAAGGGCCACGACCCGGAAGGCTCACCAGTCAAATATGGAATCCAGTCAACTGATAAGTTTACTGTTGACCCTAGCAGCGGCGTCATCATTCTCGCAAAGCCCTTGGATCGTGAGGTAATCCGATATTTCATGCGTCCCGTCATCAACTGTTTCGTGGATTCGGGTATTGATGCAATCAAATAACTGCTAATGAATTACCTCGACAATGACTGAAAATGTCTCATCATTTAATGAAATAATTAAATCAAATATCCAATATCTAATAAAATTTCGTAATATAGTGTAAAAACATGAATATCTTGCGAAAACTTGGAGAGATATTGTCGTTTTATACCATCAAATTACCTTGCCATGTAAAGTTTCCTCATATTCAGAAAATGTAGCGTATTTTCCTTTCCCCTCCATAGTGGTGAAAATTTTTAATGAAGTACTTTCTTTTGTCCCCATTATACAACCCCAGAAAGTCCCACATTGAAACATTCATACAGCCCTATTTTGCTCTAATAATTTCAACACAATCCTTTCATAAAATAATTTATGGTACTTTTCCTACCGCTTTCAATTCACAATTAGTGAGCATTAGACCACTCTCCAGTACCGAATTCCATCCATTGGGTATTCATTAATAAATCCTCATTAACCCAACAATGAGCCCGAGAGAGCAGTTATTTAGAGCCCTCCGATGACCGAGAAGTCCCCCAATCTCACCCTCGGGCAATGTTTATTGAATCACTGGTATCCCCAGCAACAGCCTCACAGAAGCCAACCAATCCCAAAAACTTGAAAACAATTTCGTAAATGTTAACGTAAAATGAGATCATAGAATTCCTATACAAGTGACAAGTAGAAGGAAGAAAAAAATTTACCCAACAGTTGTTGTCTCTTGTACTTTGCTGAATGAAAACTTTTCATTCGTTTAAATGCATTTTCACACCACATATACTGCATGTAAAATCTAAATGAGTGTAACAAAAAATAAACATGAAAGTGTAGCCAATAGGGTGAAAACCAAACACAGTAGAATGTACGTGATGAACAAGAACAGTGTGTGTGTGTGTGTGGGGGGGGGGGGG